ATGGGGTGTGAGGCCTACAAACGTACCGACCTTTAGCTATCTGGGAATGTATTTATAATTCTTCTGTAGGTGTGTTTGTGAGTGAAATCCTCCTAAATGGTTGTACGGATTTTAACGAAACTTTTTGTATGTGTTTGAGTGTGTCTCTGGATGGTTTAGTTTCACAATTTAATGCGACAGTTGGCGCTGTAGCTGAGTTATTACTAAGAATCTTATTTATGATCCGATTTGGCCAAATATGTATGCAATACTATTGCAAAGACGTGCTGCCAAGTGGTGCTGAAGTCAAGTTATTACTAAAAATTGCCAAGTGAGAAAGAGGCCGTGAAGGTCAGATTAAATCGAGCTGTTGCACCATTGAGTATATCCAACGCTCCTGCGTTTGCGATTGGCCCAATGGATGTGATTTTCCCATATTATTATGCGTTCAAACTTTTAAGGTATTTCGTCTGAAATAAGTAGATGTATATTGCATTTCTATAGAACAATGATCCACACCCATTTAAATTTGCCACCAACTATACTGTAAAGCTTCTAGGACATTCACTATAGAACCGGGTCATTATTGCCGCCAGGGAGTGAAGAGGAAAAAATTTATTTCGTTTTGCGAATAACCGTGCTATGAAATGCCGCACAACTGGAGAATTTCAAGAACTTCTTCACGGATATAACACGTTCCTTAGGTTATTTAAAGCGGCAAATGACCACCAAACCATAATCTTAGCAGACGAATGTGCCAACGAAAATCGTAAACGTGAATTGTTGATGAAAATGTTGGACCAAAAAGTTTCAATAAAATATATAATAATTTTGGGCGGAACGAAGTTCGCCGGGTCTGCTAGTATTTCTATATTTTTTTACAAAATTTTTATAAAATGCACAAAAATATTTCTTATATTCGACGAAATTGTTTTCCTTAAATCTGCGGTTGTTTCGTAGAATTTGCGATTGCTTTCATTCGCCACACTGTAAAAAAACATAGTACAAATTATAACACAACACAAAACAAAATGTTTTGCAAAAACGCTTTACATTAATGATTAAATAAATATAATGAAAGTGTTGTGTTATAATTTGAGCCATGTTTTTTATAGTGTAAAGAATAAAAGCAATCATACATTCTACGAAAAAAGTGCAGATATTACAAGTGTAACTATGGTAAATAATAAGTTTTACCTAAGTTTTCTAACTACTCTACAGTTAAATATTAATAAAAAAGGTTATTTTACCTATAATAAAACTTAATTCTTTTATTTATATGCACGCGAATAAGTTCTATACTACATATTTTTTATTGCTTAGCCTTCATTCAACTAAGCATATTGATGCAAAGTGCAAAATCATACATTAAGTAGTGCCTCTGTTCCTGGCTTGGGCTAGCCGTTGATAGGTAGCTGATGAAATTGCCTGTTTATGAAGTCCCACATGGCAACGCAAAGCTCAGCGTGGGCGATGTTAAAAACATTGTATGCTTAAAAGCATATATCCACAATTTAAATATTTAATTTTGTATCATAATTTTATCCAGCAAATCCCTTTTTAAAACGTTTAAAATTATATTATACGTCTCACAGCAGCCAACTAGTAATTTTGCAATGACACGCGGTACAAAAAAATAAGATAAAATATTAAACGGACGGTAATTTAGTATATTGTATGAAAATATTCGTCTGTGGTACGAATTCAAAAAACATTTTTTTGCATTTGTTCTTTGTACGAAAGTATTAAGTCAAATGAACGAATACAAAATTGTAGATTTCGTAAATTTTAAAAGCGTACGTAAATATTACGAATGACTTCGTACAATATACAAAATTATTCGTACAGAGATTTGTTCAGTAATTTACGAATGTATTTCCTAAAATAAACGTAAGATTTCGTAAATTGTACTGAAAAAATGCCTTACGAAAGGCCTTCCGTTATATTTACGAATGGTTCGTAAAATCTTGTTTCGTTGGGAAAAATGTGTTCGTATTATGAACGAAAGTTGCGTACATTGTACAAAAACCAAGACTACGAAAGTTTTTCGTGGCACTTTTACGAAATTTTATTTTCAGTGTATAACAACAACGTGGTGGAGTTTGTGCAAAATGCTGTCATAACAGTTTTTCGTGGTACACTTGGCGAATTTCGCCTCATAAATTTAATATATATTTTCAATTAAAATTGTTGAAATATGCATTGTCAAACACAAATTTATAACATATGGCAGCACTTCTCTCTCATTTCTTTTGACTTTGTGTAATTCTATTCGCATATATATACATATATATGTAGGTACGCAATACAGCAATTCATTTTAATGCATATGTAGTTAGGGTTGCCGGACGTACTGCTTTTGGGAGTAAACGTACTCCTTTTTATTGCAATGTACTCCCATGTAGTCCCAAAAAAAAATGTCTGGAAATGTACTTCTTTATTAGTTTTGTACTTCTTTTGTACTCCTTTTTCCAGCTATTAATATTTTATCATATGCAGGGTGTAAAATAATAACTGTTGCACAGTTTTTTTTTTTAATAAAATTGGCTTTTATAGATTTTGCGAAAAAAGTGGTTCATTGTTAATTATCCACAGATTTTACTTCAATTTTATTAATTTGTTTTTAAATTTTAACGTTCATTTGGGTTTACCGGCGATAAACACTTTGAGAGAAAAGCGCAAGTAAAAACAGTCGTTATTGTATAGTTTTTAAATTTAACCTTCATTTGGGTTTACCAGGGGGTTTGGGAGCAAAGCGCAAGCGGCACGCAAGTCTTCATCGGTTACTTTATTACATATCTTCTGTAACCATAGGCTAATTTCCTCCCACTAGGAGGGAATTCATTCGACCAACCCTATACATTATTTTTTCCCCATACAAAATCAAAGAAAAATTACACCTGAAAAAGAGGTGTGTGCCGCATGTACTTATCTCCCAAAGCTGGCAAATGCAAGTAAGGACTAAAATTTTAAAACCAATTAATAAACTAAAGTAAAATATTTACAAAGTTAACAAAAAAATACTTTGTTTAACAAAATCTATAAAGAACCCTTTTATTTTTCAAAAAACCTGTGCGACAGCTATTATTTTACGCCCTGTACTTTGCCATTCAAATTGTGGCAAACACTACTTAGTAAGCAAAGTTAAGTGTGATAATGAAAAAGTGTAAGCATGGCCGTAGCAAGGTAGGTGCAGGGCGCTCGGATATAAAAATCAGAAAAATATTAAATTATTTATAAAGCTTAAATTAAAAAAATGGCCATACATTTAGGAAGAGTCTGGAATTCTTTCCTATAAGGGCGATCATTGAAGAGGCGGTGAGCGAAGGGGGAGTGGGCGGCACCCCTCTCTTCGTCAAAAGTGTATAACATTTCTTGTGGATACAATTCCGGCATCGGTATCCAAAGTATTTTTGCACTTAACTCCTCTCTGCGTAGGCGGCCTTTGGCCGCGCTTAGAGATTATAACCCTTACTAGGTAGAATTCTCCTTTCTGTGTTGCCGGGGAAGAGAGGCAGGCACCTCTTTTGTTATCAAGGGTATATAAAATGTCCAGTGCAAATGAATATTCAACCTTTTTCAAACGAAAAAACGCAAGTGAAAATTGTGACTTTTGGTCATTTTTCTAAGGGGTCCCTAGGGAACCGTAGGGGCCCTAGGTGGTCGGGAGTAACATTTATGTCAATGGCGGTTCATGCCCTCTTAAAAAAGGTCGGAAAAGGTGCCACGTCCACTCCCCCTTCAATCTCCATCTCTTTAACAACCACCCCTATTGGAAAGCCAACCCATATAGTTTTTTATTTTTCACATTTATTGTTGCTTTGAAAAAGATTTCTAAGATATCTTTGTTTGTTTGTATCTAATTAATGGTAATTTGTAACAATAAACTGCACAAAAAAAAAAAAATGTTCTCCTTTCTTATGTCATGTACTGCTTTTTTTCTATCGAAAATATAAATGTACTCCTTTCTCCGTATCAAAATCTGGCAACCCTATATGTAGTTCGGCGAAGACTTCCATTTGTAAAAATACTTATTTTCTTAAAATATAGAAAACGTTCCGTAAAAGCGAACTTTGTATACAGTTTTACTTTTGGTATTTTTATTTGGCTAGACTAGAAGCAGAACAACAAAAATACAGTTCATTTTCTTACAAACCCCCATACAAACCCAAGTTTGAAAACTAAACAAAAAAAAAATAAATACTTTTCATCCAAATTCCAATATTTTTTCTCAGAACTAATCGATTTTTTGAACATACAGTTTTATAGCTCATTCAATTTTATGCGGTAGTATATACATACATATAGAAGCAAATATAAACAAAAATGAAAAAATCAACGGTAATTTTTAGCCAGCTGAAACTTGCAATCAAAATCAACGCGATTATTTAGCACTTCAAATTTTCAAAAAAATCTTATGAGAAAGTTGCAAGTTTCTGAATTTTGCGCAAAGTTTAGAGACTTTATTTTTAATTCTTTTGTTGTAGTATGATTTAGATTTTCATAAAAAATTTTAGGAAAAGAAGTAGGAGTAAAAAACTTTGCGTACATTGAGAAAAATTTTTGTTCAATACTTTTATCCGGGAGTAATGTAATGTGCAAAACTCGCGGTAATTTAATAAATTTCCATGGAAATTTTCGAATTTTCAATCAATTTTTCTTGAGTATGCAGTTTTGTAGCACTTTAAATTCCAGTATAAAAAATGCAAGTTTGAAGTTAGTCCAAAATGGCTTAGATTTTTTGGAATTTTGAAGGTGGTTTGCATTTTTTCCATTCAAAGTATTCTCGAACAGTTCCTTTGCATGGAAAAACTGCGTAATAAATAGATTCCTTCTTCAAATCTACGTACTCAAAAAAATTCTAAAAAATCTGATTAAAACGCTGAAAATTTGCATGATTTTTATGAATTTTTGTATTTGTAAAATTTTATGAACATTTTTTGTATTTGCAAGGATTTAAGAGATTTCAATGTTATTATTTGATTTCTAATTCGTATTTATACTTCTTTTGTTATTTACAGCGCAGGATGTGTTTTTAGAGCATTGCCAAAAGCTGCTAGAGAAATTTCGTTATCCCTGGGAGATGATGCCCTTAATGTATGTGATATTAAAAGATGCTGGGGCAGATATTGAAGAGGCTTCAAGACGTATCGAGGAGGGTAAGTGTTGTAAAAATATTTAAGCTAACTCAAGAGCACTAAAAAATAGCATTTCAAACCATTATTATAAAAAACACAATTCATTATTAAAATATTTTAGGCCAACATGTCGTAAATGAATACTCGCGTCAGCATAATTTAAATATTTATGATGGGGGTGAGCTGCGCAGTACGACACGGCAATGTGGATGATAATTTTTAACGTAATAACTTTAAAAGTTATAATTTGAGTAAATATAATGAAACTAAATCAATTTAATTTTTAAGTTTAATAAATACGTCATTTAAATCGAGTGAAGATTAACATAGGAAATAAAATATTAACTGTCTCCAATTGGAAACAAAAAATTAAGATACCTGCAGGTTCCTTTTTCTTTTGTCGAGTTAAAAAATTAGTAACCGTTGCTAAATGTTTAACTTCGGAGAATCTGACAACTTTTTGCGCCTTCTAAAAAGTGAAAGTAAGTAAATAAAATATTTGCAAATCAACAAAACTTCAATCAACATACCATTGGGCCCACTTCTTCAATCAACATACGGATTGTACTTAAACATATACATAAATATTCTGCAATCAACAAACCCAAGAAGGAGAATTCAAGTTTTTCTGCAATCAAATTCTGGACATCTTTGTGTATTATTTACCACACCATGTTAAGCTGGCAAATGTAAAGTTTAACAGTTCTGCAACCAACATATTCAGGATATCAGAGTCAAAGGAGTCGAGAAACAAGAAGTTGCATACATACACGTTTAACCGTGCTTGCGGAATATTGTTAAATTTTTATAAACAGAAAATAAATACTTTGGTTTTCAATTTGCATACTTAGTTTTAATTAGCTCACGAGTGAATATATTGTGTTATGCAGATCCACTAAATAGCAAAAAATCAATAACTTAAAGTTAAAATAAAAAAAAAAGAATTTTAACACAAACCAACAACAAACAACAACCGCATGATCAAGTCTAAATAGCAACAAAGTCGTTGCCCTTGATTGTAGTTGGGTTGAACAAATGAAGTGGAAAAAAGCAGCAACAGTTTACATAGCGAACTTTGCTCAGTGGTTAGGACTAGAGATGTTGCAAATGTGGAATTTTAGACATCCGCGGATAAGAATGCGGATGTTTAAAAGCTAACATCCGCGGATGCGGATCGAATGCGGATGTCATGTATTTTTATGAAATAATTTAGGTGTGTAAATTAGATGATTTAGGTAAATAAAAAATGGAAAGGTTACAACCAAAAAAAACGTCTCTTAATTGAAGAAACAGCAATCAAAATAAAGAAAACTGGGACCGAAATAGCACTAAAGAAGTTTTATCCTCTTTTCATGCCCAACATTTCTTCAAAATGATAAATTACATCCACGGTTCCATGTTTTCGTGTACGTTTTTACACATTCCAAAGAAAAATTACTCATTCGGGAAAATTTTTTACTCATTCGGGAGAATTTTCGACCTTAAAGTAAAGAAAGTTTTTCTTTGATCCAGAGATGGATTTTTGGTTCAGTGATGTTAGTTTTAATAATGTTTTTTTTTGTTAGTACTTGAATTTAAAAATTTGGAACATTGTATTTAATGAAAACTTTTTAAAGGGTCGTAAATCAAATCTGCGCCGCTAATAACTACTCGCTTGAGGCCACAAACTTGAAAAACTAGAAACTTGCCAAAATTGTAAATTCTTTTCGATCGACGCTGCATCAGGTGAGATTTTAAAGCTATTTAAGTCCTCTTTAATTTGATACCAAACTTGTTTAATTTGAAATGACTTTTATTTCGGAATAAAAAATATTAGCCCAAGTTCAACTCGTAAAAAAAAATAACTGTTATGTTCGGTCCCTGGAATATTGTGCAAGTGCACTGATAAAACGTATATCTATATCTAACCAGTCAAAGAAGAAAGCATTAAAAATTAATTACAAAAACTAAAATCGAAAAACGCTGATGGCGAGCTCAATCAAGTTAGCGGCGCTGAAATGAAAAAATTAAGAAAAAATTTGTTCGTATTATGGTGCTCATTGTGTGCTATTTTCGGCCACTTTTCTTTTTTTTGGGCTCCGACCAATTGGGAAATCATTAAGACTTTGCTAAGTTAACCGTAACTTAGCAAAACATTCATTCAATGAAGTATTTTTACTACTTATATGGGCTTATTTTTTGGGGCTTTTTATGTGCTTTCAAAATATTGCCCAGTAAACTTTGAAATTCGCTTGACGGATAAATATTATTGAGGAATTGCGTTCTATTTCTAGGCTTTTTATAGTCACCAAAATAATTATAGGAGCTCATCCAGTTTCCGAGATAATTAAGACTTTGCTGGGTCAACTGTAACTTAGCAAAACATCCATCCGGTCAAGACTTTTTACTGCTTATCTGAGTTTATTATTTTGGGCTTTTTATGTGCTTTGCAAATATTGCCCGTTGAACATTGAAAAATCACTAAAAATATTGCCCAGTAAACATTGAAAATCGCTAAAAATATTTCCTAGTAAACATTGAAAAATCGCTTGACGTCGCGGTAGCCGAAATATTGCTGAGGTATTAAGTGACATTTAGGGGCTTTTTAGGGCAGTCAAAATTATTTTAGGTGCTCACTCAGTTTCCGGGATAATTAAGACTTCCCTGGGTTAAATGTAACTTAGTTTAACATCTATTAAGTGAAAACTTTTTGTTTAAAGTTTTGAGTTTATGAACAACTGCCAAGTGTACTCATTGGGATGTTTAATAAACTCAGAGTTTAATTTGGCATTTTTCTGTTTACTTTTTCTTATTCACTTTTAGCCTGTTCCCGTACTCCAGCATTTAGACAGAAATAGTCCGACGTAGCCGTGGTGTAGAATACCAACCGTTTAGCCATAAAGAAATAAAAAAAAATTAGCCAAATAGAACTTTTCATGCTGATTTCAACCATATGATGAGTATCTGGTGCAAATAAAAACTAAAGCCAATAAAAAAGGTTCAAGTTTAA